AAAGGGTAGCTACTGATAGTCTTCTGTATTAAAACTACTCTTTCTGTGGGCCCAGCAATTCTTATTAAAACAGAAATTGCCAGGTGCCCATTTAATACACCTTGGTCGACAAGGGCAGTTGCAGGCAGTGCCTTGCCCAAGGATATAAGCACCAGGCAAGGATTGAACCAGGAATCTCTTATACAAGACTCAAGAGCCTTAACCAATGTACCGCACAGCTCCAAAATTTCACTAGCTGCGGTACATGTATTCCTCAGGAATGACAGCTAGACAAAATGCTTACCGAAGTGATGCCATTCATTAGGTGATAATCTCTTTCAGATTAATAAAGAAAACCATATATGACTCTCTTATTGTACGACTAGTATAAGGCGTTGAAATTCCTATAATAGGCAGCACGTTGAGTTCTGGTCATGCAATTGCATTGTGAAAGAAAAGGTGTGAAATGGATCAGAAAAAGTTGATCATGTAGCATGTAAGTATTGGTGTGTACTGCAAGGTTCTGAAGTCATCAAAATCATAATAAATTTGGCCCAGTCTTGGTAAAGTAACAATCACTGTACACAGAAAGATGTATATGGGACTACACAAATGGTTTCCTTATCTTTCTACGCTCATTACTCAGCCAGTATATATTTTCTACCAAATTGTTTGGCAAATGAAATTTATTTGTAATCTTGAACCTTCAGTGTAACTTTCATTTGATTCTGTGAGAAATCTTCTTTTTTTTTCTACCAGAACTCAAGTTTATTTTTAACTCCTTAACATACCATAGACCAGGACATAGAGCTTATAAATGACCAATTAACGACAGCAGCAGGGGAATTCATAAGGGTACACCTGCATTCTCCATTGACAAATCAGTTCCTCACATGGTGGAGGAATGGGTCCCAATTGACTGGAAAAATCATCTCATTAATCAAAGAGATGATCATTCACCTTATTACCTTCCACTGTGCATCCTGTTCTCATTTCCCATTGGCTTTTTAAAGGCACTTTTTGTCTTTTAGAGCTTATGGAGTGCTATTTAAAAAAATGTAAATGTAGCTACAAAGTATCTTTTTTTTTTCTTTATACATTTCAATGAAACTTAGATATACATGTATAGGATTAATTCATAAAGAAATATTGAGATGGAATGGCTTGGTATATTCTTTTTAATCATTATTCAGTTGAATTGCTTGAATTTTTTTCTGATCTCTTTTTAGCATTTTTAATGGATTAATTCATAATTTGACCTCTTTAACTTTCACTACGAATGCAAGTGCTCCAAAAGTCATCTTTTAAAACTTTCTTACTGTGACTTTTTTCCACGAAAAGTTAAAGCTCACTGTGTCTTTTCTTTTCTTTTTAAATCTTCGGAAGTTTCTGCTATGTTTAGCAGTGAAACATTGTATATATCAAGAAAACTTAGTGGTGAAGTTTTCAGATTTCAATTTTCAAGAACTATTACTAGTTATTTTTGTGTGAAAACGCAATAACTGGGAGGGCTTTGAGGTTTGGGAAAATAGCAGTAATTACGAACTCCAATGTCACTGACCCTTTCTTATAACAGTTACCACAAAAGCTCTTTTCGGTGTGGTTGGATTAATGCAAACAATTCAAGTCCATAAAGAAATGGAGGGAGTATTTAGGAACAATTTTCTACCTCGAGCAAATGTTTTCCTTCTCCTCCTAGTACTTGAGAAGAAAAACTCAATTTCTCAGGCTGTTTTCCTACTGTTGAAGTCTATGAATTTGATATGCTGTTCAAATACCCATGAGTGGTTAGTACAACAGGAAACACGGTCTGTGAGTGGGTCTGTGAGTGTTGGTCGGGAGGATTCCGGAAGACATCGGACACCGTTAATCTTTCAAACAGGAGGATAATTATAGCCATTGGGAATGATAAGATTTTCTTTTTGTCATTTAATAATTATGCCCCCCCCCCCTTTAAATTCACCTATATGCTCTACACTCTGCCTACAGTGTGACCACAATCCCTCACTACATACAACCTCTTTGGGTCTTTAAAATTCCAAACTACAAAGCGGTGATTCATTTCACGACTTAGAGGTATAGAGGTAAATTTTATAATGTCACTTGTTGAACAGTGAAGGTCTTCTTAGGTTGTTTCATCAATAACAATTTCAATCTAATACTGAATATCAACTGAGAGGTAGAGAACATTTGGACACTATCAAAACATGATAAGTACCTGCTCTTTACACCCTTCAGGTATTACCTTCAGTCCTTAAAGGGGGTGTAGCATGGGAAATACTGGTTGATGGCATCTACGTCTTCTTTCGGACAACTGCACGTAAACGAATGGACTTGATTAACTGGGTCAGCATGTGCTAGCGTTCACAAAACAGACCGAAGTTCTCCTCACACTTTGGTTTTGCGTATGTTGCACGCACATGAATATGTAGGCCTACTGCAGTTGCGTCGTCCGTATTATACCCGATTTTCCCTGAGTGGGCCATGGGAAAGACGCATAGTCTCGTCATGCTACAGCTAGCCCCTTTAATTGATAGTTTTCTTTTCTTTTTAAACCCATTCAAGTTTTCTACAAGCATCTTGCAGAAATTGGCACTATTAATAAAAATTATTGCATGACTTTATTTAAGTTGAAGATACAATGGACATATAAACATGACTCAGTTTTGGTTCTCATTCAAGAAATGCTCTTGTTCTACATGGGCAGTCTCTATTAAGTTATCAGTTTCTACTAAAGTTTACTGTGGGGATAACGGTCCCACTTAATCTGTACTTAAAATGTAACGGTACTCAATACTCATAATGTACTTAGAATGGGAAGAACAGGACAAATTTAGAGATCTACGTGAAAGTAAAACCTAGTGAGACAAAACCACAGAATCCATGGAGAATGAAATAAATGGATGTGATCCTGGCACCAGCTCTACTTCGGCCTTGACTAAAGCCCTCCAGATTGGATGTAAGCCTTGTTAATTACATTAAACTTGGATTGAACCTGAAGGAGATTTACCGGTCTACAGCATGCAGAAGGACTTGGGCCAACAACACTGGGGACGATTTGGACGGTTTCTTTCCCATTTCACCCTCCCCTTTTGAACTCTCCTGTTTGCAAGGGCGATCGTACATGACCGATCTTGAAAGAACTAGGGGGGGGGGGGGTGGTGTCAAGAGGAGGGTCGTCAGTTGTCTGTCCTAGCCTAGCGAAACCTGTAACTCGTTTTTCATATAGGAATTATTTGTCAAGGAATCTTGATCTCAAAAGTTGAAACAACTACCGGTATAGGGGATGGTCTTGGAGAAGAGAGACTTCTGTTTGCTGTCCAAACCTAGCCTAATACTCTCATTTGTTAGGTGAGAAGGATTTGCCATAAATCTATTGAATTCAAATGACTAAAGAAATCATACAGCTACATCCAAGTTTAACCTATTCACAACTTAATGCAGAAGGCATTTATCATTTAGAAATCATAAAGACAGATGCACAAAACTAGGTCTATAAAGCCCTCACATCATCGTTTCACTTTGTATCTGTACATCTTTTTGGACATGGCCTCCAGTGCAAGACCCTAAAGGTTTATTACTACCTGCTACAAAAGCTAAAACAGGCCTATTAATGTTAGAATATAAAAAATAAAGTACCTGGATCAAATTCTACAGGTATGGTTATATCTTATCTGCAAAACCAATTGGCAGCTGCCTATAGCAACTTGCATGCATCTCTTAAACATGACTATGTCTTTGTTTTGATTGTAAATTGTTTGTTTTCTGTCAACTCAAAGATTAGTTTATTGATTTTTGTATTGTAACACAACAAATTTCCATTGTTACATGGACAATAAATATGAACCTTATGAACCTTATGAACCTTATTTACACATCCACTCGACTTCTATGTCTATACTCTAAATAAAATATGATGAAAAGAGACAACACTGAAATTGCATACTTATTTCACAAGCAAAAGTAAAAGCGAAAAAATGATTCATTAATTGGACTGGACTGACGGTCATTTGAATGACTTTAACATATGTGAGATGCCACTTCTAAGTAATTTCTCTCATTGCAGTCTCTGTAACTAGGTGGATATAATAGCACTTTCATCCCCTGTCTCACCTCCCTTTCTCCCTCAACATGCGATTACTTTTCATTTCAGTGGAAAACATTCAAAGGTCACTGCACACTTCAACACAAGACGTTTGCATTTCTTTTCTGTTCTCCAGAGCTAAATCGCCTGAACCCCCTTATGCATTATTTACACAAGAGATGAAGGAAATAAGACATTCATGTGAGGGTTGATGTAAAATGTGTGACTGTGCTCCGGCAACATTTTCTACAGGCCTTGTTTCATCGTAGAATTAGGGTTAGGTTTAGGATACATGGGTTTTAAGTTACAATTAGAGAGGATTAGAGATAGGGTAGGATTAGAGATAAGGTAGGATTAGAGTTAGGGTAGGGTTAGGGTTAGGCTTAAGATTAGGCATAGTGTTTGGTCCAGAGTTGAATTCAGTTATGAATTTAGGTTTGTTGTGTTTTTTTTTTTTTTTTTACTTGACTGCTATAAAAGCATGTATATATGCTTGTAAATAAACAACCAGGGGATCGACAGCTTTAAGTCCTCTCTGAGGGACTGGATAATGAGGATCAATGCCTTACCAAAGAGCACTATCGCATCAACTTGGTCTTGAACCTAGGACCTCCCGGTTACGAGACCACTGCTGTACCACAGAGCCATCACGCCTCCTCATGTAGAATATTGACTGTGAAGCAATTTCTGCCGAAGCATGTGTCGGAGAACTATGTGAAAGGGTATTAAAGCCCTTCTGTACTAGTTTGGCCAGGGGGATTACACCTCCCTGCAAGGTCACTGACAGATCGTTATCTCATCAAATCAGCTCTAAATTAACATAAGAAAAAGGGGATCATGGGGGACCAACACGCACCGATTAGGCATTGTTTACTATATAGAGGGCGCAAGTAGCTATAAGTAGTGCAGTGGGGCTTTAAAGGGAATCACTTCTTACCGCACAGACTTGTCCGACTCTTGAGTAGACCACCTTGGCAACATTCCTTGCTTCAACCGCCTCCTCTCTGAAGAAGAAGTAGATCTTTCCATTGTACTCTATCGGCTGCCCAATAAAACTGGGATCTGAATACATGAAGAAAACAAAAGAGAATAAAACAATGAAATTAATAATATAAAATAAAATGAATCAATAAAAAAAACAAATGAAAGAGAATAACATTTACTAGTATAGGATATGAACAAGAGCCCAAGCAAAATTGGTGATTATAAACTTTATTTGGATGTGAATTATGGGAGGGAAAATACACTGCAACTGCAACAGAAAGTAAAGAAAGTTAGAAAAGTATCTTGGTAGTTTAGTTTTTTTTTGCCATGAAAAGAAAAAATTTAAAGGGGTACTAGTGTTAAGAATCATTTTCCTCAAAGGAAAAGTCTGTTTTCACACAAATGCCCACACAGAAGCCCTCAGGAATTGAAAATTCAGTTTAAAAATGTCAGGGCTTCCCTTAAACTCAAGATTTCCCTTTACACAGGTAATGGACTGTGACCCCATATCATAAAAGCACCCAAACATTTCTTAAACAAAATTAAAAGATAACACCACATGCAAAATATCCTCTTTCTTTTTAAATATATGATTATTACAGCAAGTTTTCCTCCACTCAAGCAGCTATAGAAAACAAAATGAAATAAGAAGTAATCAATTTCCCTACAACTTTCCAGAAGCCTAAATATAAGTCAGAGGATAATTCAACAGCTATTATTTCACATAAATCAAAAACTTTCATTTTCACTTGAAAATTGAAATGACCATTTACAGGCCAACCAGGATCTTCCCATTTCCTTACAAAAATACCATTGCCATTTGTGGGTCGAATTTTGGGCAGATTATAAGGATGTTACAGCTGGTTACTGCCAATAAAGGAAATTTGGTTTCACCTAGGTGTTGACCTAAATGTATGTCCTAGTTCATGGTTAATCTTGATATCCTTTTCCTTTTTTCTCTTTGAAAAATCATATTTTCCTTTTTCCATGGACTTGGGAGCCACACTTACAAAGTTGAGCTACAAACATGGTACACACATCAAGAGTATTTTTCAAGTCACTTCGATGGTGGAATAGTTGTTGCATAGATCATTGGTTGACTGCAAGAAACTTGCAAGAGCTGCGCATTGTAAATGACAGTTACAGCTTTCTTGCAAAAGCTAAAGACACATTGTTTCGGCAAGAAAGTCTCTAACCTTCAGAAATTTGTTACAAATTTTCATTGATCAGAAGACTGCTTCCGGGGTCATTTGATTTGTTTGATTGATTACCGGTATAACTACCTGGTCGCACATGTACATGTATATATATATATATATATATATATATATATATATATATATATAATTAACAAAATTTAAAATACATATAATCATATCATAATATTAATCAATTCAATAATTATACCTTTAAAAAAAACATAGTTGACATTTCATTTCAAAATAGAAAAATGCATGAGACAGCCATCTTAAGCAGCGGCTTAACAATTGAAACTAGAGAATACAAAAGATTGAACAGAAAGTGAAAATACAGACAGAGAGAGAGGGCAATAAAGTACGATGCTTGATGAATACTTCATGTCATTAGTGGTTGAATAATCATCTTAAATCACGTACTTATGTTAATTATTAATCATTGTATTACCCCCTTAACCTATGGCTGTACTTCCCACAATAGATTTATAGTTTGATCTACATGTAATTGATATCCATCTATATATTCATCCATCTACCGGTATTAAGCCATTTTGGCACCCATAGAAATGGGCAGGTCCAGATTGTCTTGTGCCTTGAGCCCTTGATGTTACCCAACTGCATCTAAGATTGAAGTATAACTGATGACTGTACTATTCTGCAAGTCCTACTACAGCTTAGATCAGAGCAGTTATCAAGTAACATAAATAACAATTTTTATGTCAATTTAGGTTCATAATAACACATTACCGGTACTTGCTATTATACGAGACACAAAGGAGCAAATAATAAGTTGGATTTCCCATGTGTGTACCTTTCTATGCATCTATTTTATGTATTCATTAAATACCAATCAATCTATCCATCCATTCATCCATGAATCAATCAATTATTTAATCTATCAATATATTTGTACATCCATATATCTGACCATTGATTGATCTATCTATATATCTAGCTATCTACATGTATATATCTATCCATCTATGTCTGTGTAAATCCATCCATCTATCCATTGATCCTTCTATTCATAGATCTACCAATCTATCTATTAACCATCTGCACATCAAAACCATCATCATGATGGCAGAAGACCTTTACCATACTTCCAAAGAAGGAAACTCCACACTGTCTGGCATCTGGAGAACAGAATCCGGCTAAAAACGATTTTCTTGTAAACCAATCATCCTTCCACACATGGACAAATCTATCATGAGCTTGACAATGTAACAAACTACGTTTCCTTATTCCTCCTAAGCAGTATCAGGTAAAGATTCATTTTACCTCAAGTGTAACAAGACCTTCGCGTTCGTAACCGCCTCAGGGTATGGTCTCGTCTTTCAATGATCATCTTTCCATATTTCCATATAAAGTAGGCATCCATATACTGTAGGACCATTTTTTTTTCTTCAAGTGGATAATTAATTAGGCAACGCCCAATCACGGTGAAGTGCCATTCATGGAAATAGATTTATATTTTCTAGCATAATTGATCAACTAATACCATATCAAGATGAACATGTTTAGAACAGTACAATGCAATAGTTCAATGATTATTGATTACTTAATCAGATCATTATAATGGATAATTTATTATCCAGAGTAATAAAGAGCATAAAATCGATCAGCTAATTGTACCAAATCATTATACTTTGTACTAGAATAATGATTATTAATTATCTATCTTAATCATTATAAAAGATAGAGAATAATCCCTAGTGATAAAGTAACAATAATTGATCAGCTATTATTTAATCATAGTGAAAGTACCTGACATAAACAAATCTGGTAATGATTCTCGCTCACCGGAAAGATAATGACTAAGCAGATTCACTGATTAACCAATTGTGTAGAGGAAGGTTATTCCTTATTGTTCACTGTACATGTATGTACAATGGAGTAGTATTTTTCAGATTTCCTAGAAATCCTGAGTGTTTTTTTTTTTTTATAAATAAAACAGACCAATGCCTTTGACAAGCGCTTTTTAACACCTTGACAATATCCACCAATAAATTTGCAATACAAATTCCAATACCCTATGAATTAATCCTATAACTACTAACCAATTTAGGAACCACAAATGGTCTCAGAAATATCAATCAGCACATTGAAGTGTTCTTAAATCATTTGTCAGCACATGGAAGTATTTTTTTAAATCATTTGTTCAATTTCCCATCCAAAGTTGCGGATTTGGAGAAAACATAATGTTCCTTCAGTATTTGTCCAAAAGAAGATTTTGGCATCCTTTTATACACATTAACTGTTGAAGATAGTGTGGCAAATGTACATAGAAGCTGGCTGAACGAACCACTGAAAATCTACAAAACTTTAAATTTGTTTCCTTTGTTGTTTTCCTGTTCGCAAGAAAATTTGCGATGACTGAGCGAAACAATAAATGTTTGAACAGTATCTACATGTACGTGTCTATTTTGCAATTCATTTCTAAAATGATCTGCCTCATCACAATTGTCTACTTTCAATTTCTGTTCTTAATCACATCATGAAAAGTAGAAGTGATATAGTAAGTATAGATACAGTAGAAACTGTACTTCAAAATTAGCTTTAAGTTTATCTCAATATGAAACTGATTTCTTCAAAACCAAAAACATTAAGTGCCTGCTAAGTGTCAAACTTACATTGTAATTGCCACTTGAATATATGCTAAACCTAAATGTAAATTGGACATTAAGAATAGAGTATGATAAATAAAAGATATGTAATGGACTCCACCCTGAATGATGGGAGTTTTAATTTTTTAAATGTTATTCATAATGAGAATGTAAATTGACCCCACCTTAAATAAGTGTAATTTTACTACTTACTCAATGTATCGCAAGGGAACTCTTATAACATCATCAAATCTATGTTGAATAGGAAATACAAATTCTTTGAACTTCATTTCACTGTGAGGGCTAGTTCCCGGGCTCTGTTCCATACGTACATGTACCTTTACAATGTAAGTCAAACTAAAGACTTTATTTACATCTAATGATTATAGGGGAAAATATATTTGATTGAAAACCCTATCAAAATATCAAGTTAAATATACTCACAACGTGAATTTGTCAATTCATGTTCGTTATCCATCATACATGTACACAGGGCTAGACACTTACAGTCTGAACCCTCAAAATTTCAGAATTTCTACATACAGATCATTGCATTTAGGCCCAAAGGTTCAAGTCTGGAACCCCAAGGAAAAAAGGTAATGTGGAGCCCTGGGCCCCATTTCACAAAACTTGTCATCAGTGAGAAATGACAGTTTTTGTTATAAGCTCTGAAATCCTTGCTCCTGATTGGTTATCAGCAGATTTGTCACTGATTTTTGTTATTTGTCATTGAAAAAAGGCTTTGTGGAACGGGTCCCTGGTGTACAGAAGATGTACATCAGAACGTTTTGGCAAGGAATTTAACAATTAAGACATAACTTTCCCTTAATGGAATCTAGTCGTCAGGCATAAATGTACTAAAGATAATGTCTTTGTACCAGAAGATATGTATCTACCCAATCTTGTTCTTCATCATGTCTAGCAGTTGTTGGCCCATCTGTCTACCAGTATTTCTCTGTTACTAAATGTTAATCATCACTCCACATGGCTGTTGTTAAATTAATTGATATAACAATGAACTCTTATCAATATTTAAGGTAAATTACGTAAAAATTGTTGGTTACGTACATGTATATAAAGGGAATTTCTGCACTAATCTCATGTAAAAATGGAGGACATATATTCTCTATATTAGCATGGTTGACTTAGTCTGCACATCCATATTTAGTTCAGCAACTTCAAGATTGGTAAAACAGCACAAATACATATCCATGATGTGTATTTGCTTAGAATCATCAAAGCTACAAGAACATAAAATACAACACTGATTCAGCTA